AAAATTCAATAACAGTAACAAGCAGTTAGCCATATCTTGACCTGCAACAATAATTATGGCTAATAATTTGAATTTTCATAGTTGTGACTATAATTCTCCGCTTCATAATAGTTGTGGCTAATATATTGTATTAACCCTAAGAATTTCGCAAGACCCCTTTTAGCCTTGTGACAAATTTACATTTAATTATGAATTGGTGCAAAGTTTCACCTCTCTTAGACTCTTACCGATCCAACCCTACGCGTAACATCGTTAAGAAAACATGTAAATATACATATAAAAATAAAAAAATTTATATGTTTTTAAGGTCGGTTTTTCTGCCTTCCAAGTTCCAACATCACTTGTGGGATGGTGGTCATTTATATGCTCTGTTCTTGGGTGTAGTTGCGATAGAGTTATCTTTTTGAAGCTCAAAGTTTGGAGCTTTACGGTTTTCGTGTGCACTGGTATTCGTTGTTAGTCTAGTAACTAGTGGTACAGTTTTTAGCCTAGTGATACATGTTTTAGTGTAGTGGTATCGATTTTAGTATGATGTAGTGGTACTCCTTTTAGTATTAGTATAGTGGTACCGTTTTTACTCTTTAGTACACTGGTACATGTATTATAGTGTGGTGGTACATGTTTTAGTGTAGTGACATCTATTTTTGTTTGGTCCAATGATACTTATTTTATTGCAGTGGTACATTTTTTTTTGGGTGTAATGGTACCGATTTTAGTATGGTCTAGAGGTACTCATATTAGTGTAGTGGTACAGTTTTTAGTGCAGTGGTACATGTTTTATGTAGTGGAGCACTTCTACTATGCTATATAGTATTGGTGCTTTAATGTAGTTGTACCATAACATTAAATGTATAAATTTAGGTTGTACCATAAAGCAATTTGTACCCTTATATGATGGTACAACTTCAAGTTCAAGTTGTACCATCACATAAAGGTACAAGTTCAAGTTGTACCATAACAGAATTTGTACAAAAAGTACAGGTACAATATGAAGTTATACCATATTGTAAATGTACAATTTTAAGTTGTACCATAAAAGGAAAAACCTATAGCACCAATACTCTATAGCATTGTAAAATTCGTCTTATGTAGTGATACATGTTTTAGTGTATTGGTGTAGACTATAGAGGTAATGGTTTTCATAATTTTCTTGTTGTGATACTTTTTTTGTTAGGTGGCCGGAGGGAGTCCGACCAGAGAAAGTCTGCCAAAGGAATATGGTCGGAAGAATTCAGCTCGTGGAAGGTAAATAGGCTGTTGAAAAAGCAAAAGTGAGAGATAGAAAGAGAAATACAGTTAATGTTTGGTTCGAATTAAAAATAATAATTAATATAGATTTTAATTTCCAAAAATGATTCAGTATAAATTTTTAATTTCCAAAATGAAATTAGCATGATTTTTTAATTTCCAAAATAAAATTAATACGAGTAATATTTTTCACTACCAGTTTTTCCTTTATTTCGCATCGAATCTCGTTCCTACCATTTAAAGTGGTTATTATCTGAATAAATGCTTGCTCTAGTAGTAATACCACTCCTATTGAAATATGGAGTTGTCAAATTCAATTTTTTAAAGTAAAATCTAGTTAAAAACAAAACCTAAATCACTCCTATAAAAAATATTATTATTATTATCTTTATTGATGGTTATTCTAAATCATTTCAAAAGATTTCACAAAAAAACAAAATATCTCAAAAGAGTGTGGAATCTATGAAATGAAAGCGGACAAATGGAAAACAAAGAAAAGAAGGTACGAAAGAAAGAGTATAGTTTTTATTAAAAATGTACTTTTCGATAAATTTATAACCATTAAGTTAAGGCAAGAGAAGGCATATAATAAATCTACACAATAAATAAAAGATAATGAGAAAACTTGAAGTGATATTTTAAATTTCTTGCATCCAGAGTGAAAGTAGGAAGGACATTTTGGTCTTCACAATTAATTGTTTTTATTCATTAAAAAGACAATTACTAGGATTCGAACCATGACCACTTTAAAGAAAAACAAAGATCATAACCAGGGACAGGTTACGGTGACCGTGGTTACTAAGGGTAAATTGGGTATGAAAAATAAATTGTATTAATTATTTTTTTTAATAAATTATATTATAGGTAGTTACAAGAATCTATTAATTACAATTCTCTCTCTTTCTCTCACTTCCATAATTTTCAGCCAGATCCCGTTTCCTTATTTTTCTCAATCTTCTGCAAAAGAAAAAAAAAGCACGAAATCACTACCAATCCATTAGACAATCACTACCACTTTGAAAAATATCAATACCATTGCAGAAATAAATCTATACCATTACACGAAAACTACCAATATAAACAATCTACCAATATTAATCTATACCATTTCACAAAAAATCAATACCATTGCAGATTGAATCCATACCAATACACGCAAATTAATACCATTACATGATAATCAATACCAATGCGACAAAAACAATACCAATGCAAAAAAACACTACCACTACGAAAAAATCACTACCAATGCGAAAAAATCAGATCTAGGGTTTTTATTCATCCACCTTTTCCAGCGAACCTGTCGATCCGAGGAACTCCATTGCTAATGCTCTGGCGAGCAGTGATTTCCCAACTCCGGTTGGGCCGTGAAAGAAGAAGCTGGTGAATGGCTTGTTTGGGTTTTTGAGAGCTGTACTGGGGTTGGGGTGGTTGGAGGGAGGGAGGAGAGCAAAAAGGTACATAAATTCGCTTTGGTCCATGCTTCGTCATCCATTTGCAGAGCATAATCATTGGAGCTGTTGCTGCTCGCTTTACTGGACTGGTTAGTGGCTATCCCATCTCATCTCCCCTGTCATTTTGGATTGTATATCATTTGTTAATGGCAATTGGACTCGTGTGTAGATATGCAAACGGAGGGAGGAAGGGACGCCGGGGGTGGGAGAAGGGAGAGACGGCGGCTAGGTAGATAGGTTGTATTAGGGTTTGAGTATAACATATAGAGTAATCAGGTGTGGTATGTTTTTCATTTCCTAAATTACCCTTAGCTAATCTTAATCGTTAATTTAAAAATATAATAAAATAAAGATAATGAATGGTATAGATGTAGGTAGCCACCGTGATTACTCAAAATTGAGTAACCACCCTAACCTATTCCATCATAACCAATCACACTAAGTACATTTGTTGTATCTTTTTAAATTAAAAACATATAATCGCAGAGAGGAAAAAACCTTCCCCCATTTCAAATTCTCTGCTCCATGAGCGTTTGTAGGAAGGGTAGAATAGGGAGTGTCAACTTTTTTCTTTTTCCTCTGTGGAACGGGCCAACTTACCGTACACATGCGGATTTAAACGGGTCCAGGAGTGTCAATTTGTTTCTTTAAGTCATTTTATTTCTCTGTGGTGGTAAAATATATATGAAAATGCAAAAACAATACTCATTTTTATTGCTAAAAAGAAAAAAAGTTAACAATAAACTAATGCATGGATTCTAATGGGCTAACCGCTAATCATAAAATAAAAGAGTTGAATGAGCCTGACCTACACGGGATTTGCCCATCAAGTAAAACAAATGAACGTCATGGATTTGTCATTATAAAACAAGCTATTTTCTCTAGCATAATATATATTATGCTATTATTTTATATCTTAGTGGCTAAAATATAATGTATTTTAAAGTTATTCAATGGTTCAACCTCGACCAACCCAATTAGTCCAATTTTTATCATTTCAAATATATATTATGTAATTATTTGATATCATAATGATTAAATTATAGTGTATATTATAGGGAATCGTTTGGTATTTGTTAGTAAAAAACTAAACAGAAAGATCTATTTGGTTATTTTTCACATTAAAACGATCCTAAACATTTTCAGTTTCCTTTCGAAATTCTATAGTTTTATTCCGGAATCATTGATGTGCAAATGGCGAATTGCAGTCATCTCTTTTCTTTCATTATTTTTTATTTTCAAATAGAAAGTTTAAAAGTAAAGAATAATTAGAGTTTGGCATGGGTCGGTCAAACAGGCTGAATTTCAAGTTTTGGCACGTTTTGATCAAGTCTAATTTATAATCACATGGTTCCCTAATACCCGATAAAAATCTCAATCCAAAACAGTTTGGGAGGTGAGTCCGTGTTTACCACCACTTTCTAGGGATATAGGAACGGTGGTTCCTATCCCAAATCGTGTTGTTCATTATTGATTTCTTTAGATTTTATCATGGCTTGGCAAAAAACCAGAAAGCACATTGATGACAAGATGAAAGTTTTATAAAGCAAATTAATCAGCCAGCGGGCTGAGTAAAAGCTAGCAACCATTGTGAGATGCTCATTTCCTGAAAATCGGCGGGATAGGCGACTTTTTATTCAATTTTCTGGAATTCGGTTTCTATAAAACTTACTCCACCTCATCATATTACCAGAAACAATATTGTTTCACAAGGTAACAAGTACTTGATTTTGGTTCATAAGGCTGATTTTTGATTCGTTGCATAATTCATGTCTCTTTCCTATTAAAATTCACTATTTTTATCACGTGTTTCCATAAAAAAAACTATACAACAATAAGCTATACACTCCATTACATTATTAAATTTCATATTTCACATTCTTCCGGATAAATGGCCGGGGCCCACGCTAATAAAAAATTAAGGGAACAAAAGGACGAATCCGGAAAATTAAATACATAAAAATTAAAAACTATTATTAACATCCATCCTCATGATGCGCACAATTCGCCGCGTGTGTACGGAGAAACCCCCAAAACAAGATTCCCCACAAATTCCAAAAACGGGAAATAAGGAGAAAATATGAAATTAATTAAAAAGATAAACACAAATATCCAACTCGCCCCCCATCCAGTCATCCACTCACCGTTTCGATACCCGAGTCGACTCGTATACGCGACGACCCGTAGGTGAAGTGAGTAAACCGAATCTTCGCGTCTCTCTCTCTGAATCTGAAAATTTTACTTTCCTTTTCCTTCTCCCACAATATAAAACCGGTTTCTTCTCCATCTCAAAATCTCATCCGCCGCTGCTCACCTGACCTGGGTCAGTCTCTCTCATTCTCTCTCACTCAATGCTCCACCAGCAATCCGTCTGAAAAAGAAAAGACCCAGAAGAGAAAAAGATCAGAAGCAAAGAGGAAATGGACCTGAGCTTGGATTTGGGTCTGGTTCATATCTCCAAAACAGTCGCCGAATGTCTGAAAGAGGTCGCCAAAGTCAAGGATGTTGGTCAGAAGCTGTCCAAGCTTGACGATTACGTCAATAGGTTGGAAGATGAGCGCCGGAAGATCGAGGTCTTCCGCCGAGAGCTCCCTCTCTGCATGCTCCTCTTGAACGATGGTACAACAGGATCTTATTCCCCTCCTTCCTTCTTCTTCTTCTGTTGTTTATTTTTTTGGTTGGTTCTTTTCATTTTTTCTTCTTATCTCTTTGTTTTTGTTGATGTGTTCCTTCTTGTTTGACTGCAGCGATTCTGAAATTGAAGGGGGAAGCATTGCGTTACAAGGAATTGAACGATCGAGCTGGTGTTGGTCAAGGAGATGGAATAGAAGAAGAAGAAGGGGAGATGATGAACAAGAAGAGCTGGATGGATTCTGTACAGCTATGGAAAATAGGAGATTCCAATCAGATGGACTCCGTATCAGAACCAAAGCAGGTTAGATGTTTGGCAGACTTGGTGTAAAGACTCTGGCTTTTTCAATTGGGATTTTGGGTTTTTTTTATTATTATTAAAGAATGATCACATTTGGACCCAGATGAGAATTCTGATGTTTTTGTGTTTTTCCTTTTTTGTAAATTGAGCAGCAGAGAAGTGAGGAAGAAGATGATCGATCTACCTGTGAGAATCCAATTCAGCAGCTTCCCACCAGGGGAGGGGCATTCATGGCGTTTAAGCCAACTGTTGGATGTGGAAGGAAGGAAGAGAAGGAAGTTGTTTCACAAGCTACCGAGCTGTCTCTTATGACTCCATCTCCTCCTGAATTGGTTCTTGCTCCTAGTCGTGGCAGTATTCAGCAAGTGAAGGTGCAGACCACTAAGCCACAGCCACCGGCATCGCAGCTTCAGGCCAACAAGAAGCAAAGGCGGTGCTGGGAGCCTGAACTTCACAAGCACTTCATGAATGTTCTTGATGAGCTGGGAGGACCTCATGGTATATATCAGTTTCCATGACCAGATGTCAAGCTTTTTCCATTGTTGTTTGCTTTAAATCATATCTATGATCGATTGTGATGCTGTTACTGTCAGACTCTTGATTGGTTTTGTGTTTCACTTTTTGATTCTTCAGTGGCCACCCCCAAGCAGATTAGAGAGCGGATGCAAGTGGAAGGACTCACCAACGATGAAGTCAAAAGCCATTTGCAAGTATGGTTTCTTTTTAGTATCTTAAGACGTTATCATGCTTGTTTTTTTTATGAGTGATGTGCTAGAGGAATTAGATACAATTCGTGTCTGAGCATCTCTAACAACACGAGTTATAGAGACCAAGTGGTTTTCGACAGAGCATCAAAGCCTTTGAGGCTTTGTCCATAGTAAAACTGCAGTATTATAAGTTTGATTTGACTATAAGGTATTGAGGAGTCTGTGCAAATTTAAATTCTATGAATTGATTACTTCTTGGACCTCCCTTAACAACTCAGGTTATTGAGATTGAGCTGCTTTTTACACAATTTGACATGAATTCGTTTCTTGTTGGTTGAGCAGAAATACAGGCTTCATATCCGAAAGCATACAACTCCTTCAGCTGGCCCGGCAAATGGGTTGTGGACTCCCAAGTATGAAGGCAACAACAGGGATGACACTCCAAAGCCTAAAGTATTACAGTCCAATATGGAAAGTGAAAGCATGGGAGGTTTCTCTAGGTCCAGCAACGAAGGTGAAAGCATGGAAGGAGGGGATGAGAAATCAGAGAGTCATGACAGTTCGAAAGGAGGGACCGAGAAGGTGAACAATGAAGGAAGAGAAATCGATGTATGGAGGTGAAAGGCTCCCTTCTGATCTCCCCCCCGTGACATAGATCATGCAAGGTAGATTAAAGGCGTCAAAGTATTCTGTATACAGCAAGGTGGAGAATCAGCTTGTAAAGATGATAGAAAAGATAGACAGACAAACACAAATAGAAAGGGGGGAAAACAAGAAGCTGCTGCTCTTAAGTAATTTGTTAAACTAGTCTACTTTTGCGGCTTATGTAGTTTCAGAGAGTGATGATAGGGTTTGAGGGGGTTTTTTTTTTCTCTGCAGAAAACTGTTGTTAAGTTGTTAGCTCTATGTATGTCGTTGTTGTTTGTTGATGAGGTTTTGATGTAGCAAGAGTTTGCTGAAACTTGACTAATTTTTGGGACTATAACTATGATTTTCAATTTCAGTCTGGTGAGAGTGGGTATATATATATGCAAGTTATTCCATATATTCATGAGTTCATGCAGTGAGGAGGAATCCCCTGGGCAATCATTTTGGAAGACGGGAATCATTTTGTTCAACACATGTATACACATATTATAACACCAACTCCCATTACCAGCCAACTATTGAGAAGCAGCAAAAACAATAGAAAGATTCATTGTATTGTATCTCAAGACCTGGCAAATCAATGTATGCTATTACATTAAGCTCAAGAACTAACTACTGTGCGGGCTCGAGAGTTCATATCTCCTATGTTTATAGACAGAGACGAGTTGTGCTTTGATTAGCCAAGTGAATCATCAAGCTAACCCTTGGAATTCATTTTTGTTTCTATTTGTGTTGTGTGTCTTCTTCGAGGATTGAATTCTTGCAGCAAGAGTTACTTTGTGAAAAGGATGGGGCAAACCACTGGTAGCATGGAGAACATTTTAGGTAGGACTGCAGAGTGCTAGTCGGTTCGATTCTGTTATAATAGTAATAGTTTATTTGATTTGATTATCGGCTAATCGTTAAGTAATTTTTGTATACAATTAACTGCATCGTTTGATATAAGCCTGTTAACCGTAACCGTGTACTTGGCTATTGGTTATTAAGTCGGTTATCCGACTAACCGTTTAATAAGTGATTCCGTAAGGTTATACCTAAGTAACCAAACCAACATAAGACCCTTTTTTCCAAATCTACATTTTTGTAGAAATTTTCCTACATGTGTATGTGTTCTTTTTTATTTATGATTATATATTTTTATCATTGATTTATGTTTGACTTCCTGTTCCGGATGAGGTTGAGAGAAGGAAACAAGAGAGGAAGGAGAAGAGTAATGAACGAGAATTGTGTGCGATGAACAAACTTGGTGTGCGGTTTTTGCTATCTTTCGTCCAACATAAGTTATCTAATCTTCTCAATCTAAATCTTGATGTCAAATTTCAACCATAAAATCGACGATGCTTTTTTGCGCCATTCAATTGTTTGTTCGAAATTCAAAAGTGTTACTTACCGGAAAAAAATTCAAAAGTGTTTTGGGAGGGACATGACGGTTTCGGAGGAGAGAAACATAAAAATTTATATTCGATTACTTTTCGGCTAACCATTAACTGATTATTCACTTATCGACTACACCGGTAGTCATTTCACCCTACCATTAACCATACCGCTAACTTATAATCGATTAACGGTAATAACATTTAACCATCAGATATCGATTAGGTTATCGATATAACCGTAAAATGCACTAGCCCAATATCACCCCTAGTTTTAGGTGGCTTTTGGCATCTCTGATCTTGCAGTGAGCTGTATGGAAGAAGGCATGGCCTATCATTTTCACAAGGGGATATGATTGTTTGTTATCATAATAATGACCAACTGCAAAGGCAGCAGGGAGGGGGATAATGTAATTAAATCATCTAAAACTCTCCCCACCTTCATTATTTGTGGGATAAATTTTCACCAAAACCACTGGGTGGGTAGTTTGAATATTTGGTTGCTGAGCCAGCTCTGATTTGTTGCCTCCTATTACATATTTTATGAAATGTTCCTAACCCAAATTAACAAACCAGAGAAATCTCAGCCTAACACTCAACCAATCAAAGCTCTTAGCTTTGATACTATTTTCTAAAAGGGTTTCGTCCTTTCAATTCGAAAGTAATGAAAACTAATCCAACGCTAGGACATGGCACCAAAAAGAGATTCAGAGGATATGGTGAGCCCACTCCTAAGATTTTGTCGATTTTTCTCCCCCAAATAGTTGTATGATAATGAACGATTCTAGAACCTTGGGGAGGAGATAGCAAAACTCGTTGCACAAGTTATAAAACTCGTGGTAACAGATTTTTGAACTTTCAGGATGAACCATTCCAAAATAGTTTGAGATGTCAAGAATGAATAATTATAGTTTCATTAGAATCAATGTTGTCGGCGCTGTAGCGAAGTATGAACTGACACAGCGAGTAGTTCATATTTTAGTGAATAACCGGCAGTGGCAGAGCTAAGAATAATATATAGGGGTGTCCTCTTTTAAGAGTTAAATTAATAAATAAATAATTCTTAAATAAGAAAATATCTAAATTACAACAAAAGTCTACAACGTGTTTTTATATTTTGAAAAAGTTGTAAAATACACTCGGTGTGCAAGACTCAATAAATCTCTCTATCTTACCATACAACCATTCATGAACTTTCGAAACTTGTTCTTAAAGTATCCCAAGTTGAAAATGTATTTTCAACACTTAGCAGTTGCAATCGGTAAAATCAATAACTTTAAGAAGCAAGTAAACCAATGGATATGATACAATTAAGGGAATAAGGACAATTAAGGGAATAAGGGTAGCCCGTAATGGGTTTAATTTTTAGATTTTGATAATAATTGGGAAAGAGAATAGTATTTTTACTATTAGACTTGTGTTTAAAATACATTAACAAATGAGTTGTAGCCTAATGAAAAACATGTTTACCAATAAGAGTAGTGTCCTAGGTTCAAATCACTTAATCTACCTTTTACATATCTTTTTATTATTATCCATACACAAACCACTACCGAGATTGAATAATCGTTTTCTCCAAATTATAGGAGTAGCCCGTGCACGATCGTTACAAAAAATCAATAATGAATATGTACTTTATAAAAAATATATTATAAAGGCTACACAGTACACACAAAATAAACACAGAACCATATATTCAAAATAGAGTACATTATTCTTAAACAATTTTTTTATAAATATATCAGCTAATCTTTATTAATTAAAAGAGTTTGATGACATGGAATTATCTTCCAAATAAGAGCACAAAAAAACTGGTGGTCTATCCACCCGTAACTCCTCTTCTTCCTGCACTCAGTATGGACTGGGCGGTTTGCATCTCGGCCCACGAAACTCCATTCTACCCCACTAAGCTTCTGGGCTTCATCTCTTAGCTCACCACAAACCCGGCCCACCTCAAGACTGGACGAGGTTTAAGACAAGAAGTCAAGAATACTATAGTGACAAAAAATTATTGTTTTTTTTTTGCGTGACATACCCAGATAGGCCATCGTTATTTGTCTTGCTGGTTTGATTTCCCCGGCTCCTTTATTTCCACTCTTCTGCGTTTCCGGTTAATTAGCTGGTTGAATTTCAGTAATGATTGGAAAAATGAAATGAGTGATTGATCGCTATGAAAATTTTGTCATACTCATACACTTCATATATCAACAAGGAGGGTAGCAGCAAATTGACACAGGTTTAAGGAAACTGCACTTGGCTGTTGGAGGACTCGATAGTGAAGAATAATTAGTTTAGGGACTATATTGTAATGTTTATTTACTTCTGTATTTTGTTGGTTGATATACAGTATATATATTGTAAATATGGACAATGTAACTTTACTGTTTTGATCAATAAGAAAAGTAGACCCGTTTTCTCCAGGATTCAACATGGTATCAAAGGAGACATTTTCTTGATCTCTCTCTTACTTTCCCTTTCTTTCGTTCTAGGGTTTTCCGCTCTCATCTGCTCTGTCATGGCGACTCAATCGACGCAATTTTCTCAGGCGAATAAGGCGAATTCCTCGTTCGTCACTCCCGCCGGATTGCTCGATCCAAGCCATCCTTACTTCCTCAATCCCGGCGATAATCCAGCGACAGCTCTGGTCACCGTCGTCTTTAACGACAACAACTATTATGCCTGGGCGAGATCGATGCGTCTCGCGCTTCTGGCAAAAAAACAAGCTTTCTCTGATCGATCCCGCGGTCGTTCCTCCTTCTCCGGGCGAGCCTCTTCACAGTGCGTGGGAGAGATGCAACGTGATGGTTCTTGGCTGGATCTACAGATCGCTGGCCCTAGACATCGCTCAATGCATCCTCTGGTTCGACTCCGCGATTGAGGTTTGGAGAGATCTTCAAGATCGCTTCAGCGAGGCAAGTCTGATCCGGATTTCTGATCTTCTGGACAAGGTCTTCTCCTTCAAGCAAGGCACTGCTTCTGTGAGCGAGTTCTTCACTCGTTTTCGTACATACCATCAGCCTGAGGTGTTCTTGCACTTCGAGGTGTTCTTGCGATGTGCTCACTCTCATTCGTACATACCATCAGTCTGATCAAATCATCCGTTTCCTGAAAGGTCTCAACGGCAACTTCGCTCAGATCAGGAGTCAGATCTTGCTCATGGAGCCTCTCCCCTCGATTACTCGCGTCTTCTCTCTGGTCATCCAGCATGAGCGCCAGATTAATCCATCTGGAGCTAGTTCCTTATCAGCTCCACTCGCTATGGCTGGTCAAGCATCTGGTTGTTCCTCTGGACCAGGTCAAGGTCAAGGTCGTGGTGCTGGAAATCGCCAGCGATCGGTTTGTACTCACTATGGAGGCGTCGGTCATACTGTCGATCGCTGCTTCAAGAAGCATGGATATCCGTCGGGCTACAAGGCTAAAGGCAAGGTTAACGCTGTTGTTGCTGAGAACTCTCAAGATGCTACTCCTCTGGCTATGATTAGTGACGGATCTTCAGCAAAATCTGGTTCTGTGGTGCTCACTTCTGAGCAATACCGCTCGCTACTGGCTCAAGCATCTGTCTCGGCGCCATCACCAAGATCAGTTTCCTGCCTTGTAGCTTCTACTCCAGCGGGTGCTTCAGGTGCTTCAACATCAGCCACACTCTGGCGCAACAGCACTTCGATCTCAGTCAACCTCCTTGGACCATAACTGGAATTAGACGAGTCAGTTTGGCGCTCATGCTGCTGCAGGTAAGTACGCTCTCACTTCTGCCAATCTAGGATCACTAGGTGAATCAACTAGGAACTGGATTGTAGATAGTGGTGCGACTGATCACGTGGCTTGTTCACTAGACTTGTTTGTAGACTTTAGAACAACAGTTGGTATGTATGTCACTCTACCTGATGGTTCTCGTGTAGCTGTTACTCACAAGGGAACAGTGTGGTTGTATGAGACTTTGATTGTCCATGATTTGTTGATGATACCATCATTCACATTCAATTTGTTGTCTGCGAGTAGGTTAGCTAAGTATAACAATTGTGAGTTGATATTTTCCCATTCACATTGTTTGATTCAGGATATCCCGTCCCTGCAGAGGATTGGTATAGCTAAGCAGATTGCAGGGCTGTACTACTTCAAAGTCGAATCTGGACGAGATCTATCCCTTCTATCTTTGCCTATTGCTTTATCTGCTGCTTTTGATACTACTATTAGGCAGTTTGATCAATAGCATTATCGCCTAGGTCATAGTTCAACCCCTGGACTAAGTGATATTAGGAATAAATGTCCAGATTTACATTGTTCAGTATGTCCTATAGCTAAATTCGCTTACCATTTCAGTCCAGCATGTCTTATGCTGCCAACTTGTTTGATTTAGTGCATATCGATATATGGGGTCCTTACAATGTTCCTACTATTGATGGTCATCGTTATTTTCTCACATTTGTTGATGACCATTCACGCAATACATGGTGTTACTTGTTGACTTCTAAGTCAGAGGCTAGGTCAATTGTTCAAACTTTCTGTTCTTATGTGCAAACTCAGTTTAACAGCAATGTTAAATGTATCAGAACTGATAATGGTGCTGAATTTAATATGCCTTCCTTTTATAATTCCTTAGGAATTATTCATCAAACTACATGTACTGCTTCTTCACAGCAAAATGGCCGTGTTGAGCGGAAGCAACAACATATCATTGCTGTAGCTCGAGCTCTGCTGATGCAAGCTTCTCTCCCGGTTAAGTTTTGGGGACATGCAGTCTTGCATGCTGTCCATATCATTAACCGGTTACCTACCCCTGTTTTAGCAAACAAATCTCCATTTGAGTTGTTATTTCATAAGAAACCTGATTATGGTAAACTTCGAGTGTTCGGTTGTCTTTGTTATGCCTCGACATTAGCTCACAATCGTCCTAAATTTTCAGCTAGGGCAGAACCTTGTCTGTTTCTAGGATTTCCTTTTGCTACTAAGGGTTATAAACTCTATAGTCTGCAGTCTCATAACTTTTGTGAGTCTCGTGATGTCGTTTTTCATGAGAACATTTTTCCTTTTTTGAATTCTGGTCTATCTTTAGCCTCTTTAGACCAGGCCCTTCCTTTTACTGTTGTTCAGGCTGCTGATTCTGTTGTTTATTCTCACAACATTCCAGCACCGAATTCTGGTCTATCTATAATGTTGTTCCCCTTAGACGTTTTGACAGGGTTCGTGGACCTCCCAAGAAGCTAAGTGATTATTTTTGTCCTAACGCTACTACTAAATATCCTATTTCCCAAGTTTTTTCTTACCACAGGTTATCTCCTACTTATCGACGGTTGGTTATGGCCATAACAAACGCGCCAGAACCCGCTACTTACACCGAGGCTGCCAAAGATCCTCGATGGGTAAAGGCCATGGTTTTAGAGCTCCTACCATTGGCAAACACCAATACTTGGACTCTAACTCCGTTGCCTCCATGTAAGCATGCAATAGGTAATAAGTGGGTCTTTCGCATTAAGTTCAAACTTGATGGTAGTATAGAACGTTATAAGGCTAGGTTGGTCGCCAAAGGGTATACTCAAACCCCGGGGCTGGACTACTTAGAAACTTTCTCTCCGGTAGCTAAACTCACTACTGTTCGTGCTTTACTTGCTCTTGCTTCTATCAAAAACTGGCATGCCCAATAATTAGACGTTAACAATGCATTTTTACACGGTGATTTAGTTGAAGAAGTTTACATGAAGCCTCCTCCGGGCTTATCTTTACCTTCTAAGAACCTAGTTTGTAAGCTAAACAAATCGTTATATGGACTTAAACAAACAAGTAGGCAATGGAATCATAAGATAACTCAGTTTCTTCTTACTGCTGGTTATACACAGTCTAAGGCAGATTATTCCTTATTTACAAAATCCAACATGGGTAAATTTCTTGCTGTCTTAGTGTATGTTGATGATGTTATAGTAGCAGGAGATGATTTGAATTCACTTAACTTGCTTAAGTCTCAATTAGATGCTGCCTTTAAGATCAAAGATCTTGGACAACTCAAGTACTTTCTAGGCTTAGAGATAGCTCATTCCTCTGCTGGTTTTTCTGTATGTCAACGAAAATATGCTCTAGATTTGCTCAATGATGCAGGGTTGCTTGCTGCCAAACCTGCTGCCACACCTCTTGCTGCAGGAAGTCAGCTCTCTGTTCAGGATGGTGAACCTCTTTCTGACCCTGAAATATATCGTAGACTCGTAGGACGTCTTTTATATTTGTGTCATACTCGTCCAGATATAGTGTATGCTGTGCATCATTTAACTCAATTCATGTGCAAACCATATGATATTCATCTAAATGCTGCATATAGAGTTCTTAGATACATCAAGAACAATCCAGGCCAAGGTTAATTTTTCCCCAGCAATACTTCTGTTAAACTTACGGGTTTCTCAGACAGTGATTGGGCTGGCTGTCCCGATTCGCGTAGATCAACAACTGGATATTGTGTGTTTTTAGGTGACTCCATCATTAGTTGGAGATCGAAGAAGCAGCCCATTTTTTCTCGATCCTCAACTGAAGTGGAGTACCGTGCAATGGCAGATTTGGTATGCGAAGTACAGTGGCTGCATTATTTTTTCCAGGATTTGGGTGTTAATTTTAGTACTCCTACTATACTGTTTTGTGATAATCAGTCTACCATTAGGTTAGCTGAGAATCCAGTTGCACATGAGCGTACAAAACATATTGAAATCGATTGTCATCTCATTCGTGATCGTATACTATCAGGTTTAATCAAAGTTTTGTTTGTTTCCAGTGAAAATCAACTTGCTGATGTTTTTACCAAGTCCTTGTCGAGTGTTGTGTTTTCAGGTTTGGTTTCCAAGCTGAATCGTTTGGACATCCACGCTCAAGCTTGTGGGGGCTATTGGAGGACTCGATAGTGAAGAATAATTAGTTTAGGGACTATATTGTAATGTTTATTTACTTCTGTATTTTGTTGGTTGATATAAAGTATATATATTATAAATATGGACAATGTAACTTTACCGTTTTGATCAATAAGAAAAGTAGACCCGTTTTCTCCAAGATTCAACATTAGCTTCCATTTAGGGACTCCAGTCTACAGGGTTAGGTGATGTAATCTTACGTTTGTGCCGATACTACCTGACATGCAGGGTAGGGGTGGGCGTTCGGTCGGTTCGGTTTGAACCGAACCGAAATGGGGTGTGCCGAATTTCCGAAACAGCATATACTGATACCGAATTCGAACCGGTCTATAATTTGGTTCGGTTCGACCGAACCGAATTACAGATCGGTTTGGTTTTCCCAGGTTGAACCGAATTCTGTTGCTGCACTGCTGAGTTTTCCCGGGAAGAGGCTGGCGGCTGCGGCGGCTGCTGATTCGTATGGAGGAGGTTGGCGCCTGGCGGTGTTCTCGGGGACGGCCGGACGGTGACGGGGAGGGAGAGTCGGGCGGGGTCTCGGGGACGGGGGTCGGGGAGGGAGAGGCCTTGCCGCCTTGGTGCTGCGGCGGCTGCTGCTCCACCAACACAACACCGACGGGGAGGGAGAGTCGGGGAGGGAGAGGCGGCTGCTGCTCACAGACAGACTCGGATCGGATGGGTAGGGTTTGGGGTCTCACAGAGACACAGACAGACTGGTATGGGTAGGGTTAGGGTTTTATCAATTGTGATTTGTGGGCTTCAAATTGGGTTTTACTTAGGGGTTTGGGGAAAACAGGTTGGGCTTGGGTTGGATGGGTAGTAGGCCTGGCCTGCTGCTGAAGTCTGAAAAGGGTTGGGTTAATGGGTCATTGGGTATTTGGGTTGGGTCTTTTTATTTTCGGAAATTCGGTCGGTTTCTCGGATTTTCGGTTCGGTTTAACTGAAGCTGGTTCCCGAATTGGTGGAATTTCTCAGCCGAACTCCGAACCTAATAAGACAAAATTTGGTTTCGGTCGGTTCATGATCGGTTCGGTTCGATTTGGTAAAACCGAACCGTATGCCCACCCCTAATGCAGGGGAGATCGAGAGAGGATCCAGTGACTAGGGGGGGTGCTTACTCACTTGACTAAACCCCTCCCAGCCCTTAGATCTGGATATAGCAATCTGATGGTTAAAAAGCGGGAAGGGTTATTTAATTAATGACAGGGGTAGTTTGGGTATTATGAAAAATTATGAAGTATACAAATCGGACTTACAATCAGTACAAACCATACAGACATACAAACAGTACAAACTAGAGCAACAGATTTACAAACAGATTTACAAACATTACAAACATATGAACTGTACAAAAAATACAAACTAGACCGACAAAGAAAAGAATACAAACCATACAAAAATAAAAAAAAACTAGGTTGACTTTGGAGCCTACATCCCTATATGGAGGAGCTCCTTCCCAAAGTCAACCCGGGTGTTTTTTAGACATACAAACATGGTGGAAAAAAATGACAAACTAGACCAAAAATTCATACAAACTGGAAAAACACCCGGGTTGACTTTGGAGGCTTCATCCCTATATAGAAGGCTCCGTCTCAAAGTCAACCCGGTTGTTCTTTAGACATACAAACATTACGAACAGGGGCGGATTTATGGAGGGTTAGGGGTGTCCCGGGACACCCCTAAAATTTGGGAAAATAATTATCGATCCCCCGGTAGTAGAATCTGTATGGCAAAAATAATTATCGATCCCCCGGTAGTAGAATCTGTATGGCGAAAAAAAAATACACATGTAGCTAGTGGGATTCAAACTCGGGAGTCGGGACACTATAATTATTAATATCAATGTTCTCCACTAGGCTACACCCGACTTCGTGTCATTATTTAGACTCATATTTATTAATACAAACTTAAATTGGCCAGAGAGCTAAAAATTAATTAACAATATTGGGACACCCTACATCAGCCGAGACGAACCAAATGTCCAAATACCCTTTTGATTTACGCCTTTTCACCGCCCTCGCCGCACACCCGCACTTCCGAAACCAGCGGCCAGTGCCACTCAGCATCTGCTCGGCTGCTCCTCCAAGGCTCCAACAGGCAACGGCGACGGCATACCAGTTGTTTGCCGACGAATCTCCGACTCTGCCCTGTGACCTCCTCCTTCGAATCCAACCTCCTCCTTGGCCCCTTCGACTCCGCAGCAGCCAGCAGCCACTGTTCGCATAACACAGGTAGGTTTTCAAGTTTTCTTGTTTCAAAATTTCAAATGTTTTCTGTGAATTTCAATTGGGTGGGGTCCTGTTCTTATTTGGTAGTCATATGTTGCATTCTTTGTTGCCTACTTGCCTTTGTTCTTGTTTGGGTGAGAGCCAAGAGGAGGAGAAGTTTGGATGCTGCGGTAGGGTGTTTTGTTCCAGAAATACGCTCTTTATTCATTCCTTAGTTGCTTTTATTGTTGTCTCTGAATTAGGTACAAACAAATGGAAAGATATTACACAAGAAAGGTCCTTAGTAGTCCAAATGTTCAAACTGAAGGTGTTGAAGCTAGTGGAAGTAGACAAGCTCAAACCTTTCCTCCCTCACAGGCAGTGGGAGCTACGCAAACACAAGAACCAAATCTTTCAAGTTCAGTGAATCACTCTCCAGAGAAAAGTGAGTCTTCTTCAGCAAAGTCGGATAGGGAGTTTGATGTAAACTCTTTGCCACTAGATCCGGGATTAAGGGCTAAAATGTCTAGTTTTCATCCCAATATCCGTGATGAGGTTAGAAGATATTATCTTCAAAAGGGTCATATTCAACCAAAGGGTCATAATTTTCCCTGCAGAAATTTCAGTGGAAAGAAGCGTAAATTCCAAGAGTCTTGGTTTAAAACGCATAATTGGCTTGAGTACAGTGTTTCAAAAGATGTTGCTTATTGTCTATACTGCTATGTGTTCAGCAAGAGAGGTGGAAGTGATGATGGCTTTATTGGTGAAGGTTTTAAAACATGGAATAAATTGAAAGCTTTTGCTGATCATGTTGGTGCGCATAACAGTTACACAATAGAGCTAAAAACAGTTCTGATCTTTTGTTGAAGCAAGCAACATGCATTCAAGTTGCATTATGCAGACAATCAGATCAAGCCAAAAGAGACTATCGAATTCGTTTGGTTGCTTCACTTAATTGCATAAGGTGGCTAGTAGTGAGTGGATTGTCATTTCGAGGGCATAAAGTATCTGCAACTTCAACGAACAGAGGTAACTTTCTTCAGCTATTAGATTTTCATGCTCTTGATAGAGAAGATGTGCAAAGAGTGGTTGGGAAGAATGCTCCAGGAAACCTTCAGCTTACCTCTCCAATGATTCAAAGAGATCTTGTTCATGCCATGGCTTGTGAAACTACTAAGAGAATTATTGCAGATATTGGTAATGATTTTTTCTGTATATTGGTTGATGAGACACGTGATATATCAATGAAAGAACAGATGGCTATCGTTCTAAGGTATGTGAATTCTGATGGTGTTGACATTGAACAGATGGCTATCGTTCTAAGGTATTCTCATGTGCCAAATACTAAAGCTTTGACATTGAAGAAGGAAATTGAAGCAATGCTTTTGAAACAAGGATTGAGTATGTCTATGATTAGGGGACAAGGCTATGATGGAGCTAGCAACATGAAAGGAGAGATTAATGGTTTGAAGACTTTGATTTTGGGTGAGAATTCTTCTGCATATTATGTTCACTGCTTTGCTCATCAACTTCAGTTAGCACTTGTTGCAGTAGCCAGTAATCACAAAGAAGTTGGCGACTTTTTCACAACAGTTAATAATGTGATTAGTTTGGTTGGGGGATCTTGCAAACGAGCTGACATGGTTCGAGATAGCCAGACTAAGAAGCTTGCAGATGCTATAGCTGCTAATGAACGAGAGGTTGGTCAAGGATTGAATCAAGAAATGAGTCTCAAAAGGCCAGGTGATACTCGTTGGGGTTCTTATTATGGGGCAATTCTCAATTTTGAGAGCTTGTTTGCTACTATTATTGATGTATTGGAGAGAATTGAAGATGATCCGTCTACAGAATCAAAAACAGGTAGTGATGCATGGAGGATGTTGATTATCCTTCAAGATTTCAGGTTTGTGTTCATTTTGAAGTTGATGATTGAAGTGTTAGCAATTACGAATGAGTTGTCACTAGCATTGCAAAGGAAAGACCAGGACATTGTAAATGCTATGAAACTTGTTCGTGTGGGAAAGGCTAGATTACAAGAGATGAGAGATCGGGGATGGAAGTCTCTACTTAAGGATGTTGTCCTGTTTTGCAGTAAGGCATCTATTAATGTTCTCAATATGGATGATGAGTATGTTCACCCAGGAAGGTCAAGGCGCAATGCTCCACAGATCACAAACCTACATCATTATCAGGTGGAATTGTTTTACTCGGTTCTTGATATGCAGTTGCAAGAGTTGAACAACCGCTTTGATGAGGTGAACACTACATTGTTGACTTGTATGGTTTGTCTTAGCCCAGAGAATGAGTTTGCTGCTTTTGACAAGGAGAAACTGGTAAGACTTACTCGATTTTATCCTAAAGAGTTTGGTCACCTATCTGACTCTTTTCTTCTACGGGACTTTGAGAATTACTATCATTGCTTTAAGAATGATGAGTTATTCCGTTGGTTAAAAGGAATTATTGAATTAGCTCAATTGATGGTAAAAACAAAGGTGAATCTTTCATATCCATGGATCTATTTGCTTCTCAAGGTTGTATTGATTCTACCAGTTGCAACAGCAAGTGTTGAAAGAGCTTTTTCAGCTTTGGTTTACATCAAGAACAAGCTTCGGAATCGAATGGGAGATTAGTTCGTGAATGATTGTCTTGTAGGGTATATTGAAAGGGATTTGTTGTGCAATGTAGACACAGAGTGTATTTTGAAATTTTTTCAGAATATGAAAACTCGTCATGGACAATTGTTGTAACTTGTACTTATCGGTATTTTTCTGTTGAATACTAATCGGATAATTTCTTATTTAAGAATTATTTTTTTTAGAGGACACCCCTATTTAAAATTCCTGGATCCGCCACTGATTACGAACATGGTGGACAAGAATGACAAACTAGACCGACAATCCATATAAACTGGAAAAAACACCCGGGTTGACTTTGGAGGCTCCATCCCTATATAGAGGAGTTTCATCCAAAAGTCAACCAGGTTGTTTTTTAGACATAAAAAATATTACAAACATGGTTGACAAAAATTATAAACATGGTGACAAAAATAACAAAGTTTACAAACATTACAAAAAAACCGACAAACATTACAAAATAACAAAGCGTACAAACATTACAAAATAAACCGACAAACAGTACAAAACATACTAACCGTACAAAATGTCACTAAAAATGACAAACAATACAAAACGAATCTATACAAACATTACAAAATAGATCAGCAAACATCACTGTCGCCGGGAAGTTTCCTCTCTCTCTCTCTCTTTGCATTTGGGGGAAAATTCCCCTGCAAAGGAATGACAGGGGATTATTCCCGATGGCAACAAATGAATCCGGCGCCGTTGAGAGTAAAAGTTGCCGTCGGAGTCAAAGTGGCCGGCGGGGCGAGAGCAAAGATAAGCCCGGCGGGAGGGAATACGAGCTGGGCACATTATTTTTTAATTAATTAATAATTGAAAATAATATAGTAATGCAATTACTATATTGTCCTTCATTAAATTGGATTAATCTGAGCCTTTGGATTTAAATGAGGTTGGATGGCTGAGATGCACTTAGTCACATGACTAAGGGGACCCCCTAGTCACCTGATCTTGACTAGGGGAGATCTCATCCTTACTTGGATGCTTCAGCGATGGACCAACATCGAATTCACTAAGGGTGTAAGTTTGATCCGAAAAATCGACCGACCCGTCCCGACTCTAAGACCATCTTTAGTGCAAGGTTCTAAAATTCCAAAATTTGGGGCTAGAATTCTAAATATAGCCCCTTCAAAAGTGTTTTGCATTAGTGAGGAGGTCCAGAAGTCCAAAATTTCAGAATTCGGCATTAACTCATTATTCAGTTTAGTGTAGATTTCATTATTCTAATTACAAAATTTGTTCTTTATTTTTATATAGCCACTAATAATTAACTAAGACGAACATTTCGATAAATTTTTTGAATTCCGACAATAAAAAAAAATTTATTGTCAAATATGACGTAATTAATGACGAAAGCAACATTATTGGGTCAGATAGCCATGGATTCGTCACATGCTTGTCATAATGAGTTGTGCCATCAACTATTCATTCTACTTTAATGATAATGAAATGGTGCCATCAACAGTTCATTCAGATTTAATCATATTTCAATTGTGTCATCAACTGTTCATTTAGCTTTAATCATACTGAATTGTGCCATCAACTGTTCATTCACCTTTGGACATTGGTACAGAAGGAATCATTTTGGGTTTCTATAAATGAACCACCAAAGTTGGTCTTCAAACTCATCCACCATTCCATATTCTTTCTTCAAAAAAATCATTGATCCTCCATTCTCCTCTCTAGCCACCCAAAACTATTTCGCCTTCATGGATTCCCCTGATAGAGAAGCTTATGAGATGGAAAGAGAAGCTGATGAGAGGCAAAGAAAAGTTGATGATAGACAATGGGAGTACGAGTGTCAACTTGAATGTGATCGCATGGAGATGTTCATGATGTACGCAAACCATCCTCACCAACACCAAGCAAGTGGATCTCGTGGCAGTTCATCAACACGAAAAACGGTGAGACGTAACAAGGAAGACGGTCACAGGCGCTTGATGCAAGACTACTTCAATCCAAATCCAACCTACGATGCTAAGGCCTTCACAAGGCGATATCGAATGCCCCCTGACTTATTCAACCGAGTCATGAACGATGTTGTTCAGTATGATGACTAATTCAAGCAAGGTACAGATGTTGTGGGTCATGACTCATTCTCCCCACATCAGAAGCTGACTAGTGCATTCCGGATGCTTGCTTATGGATGCTCGGCCGGCTCTTTGGATGAGTCATGTCGAATGGTCAAAAGCACCGTGCTTGTGTGTCTGAAGAAATTCTGCTCGGCTATCACCAACATTTATGGTGCTCAATACTCCACCAAAGTGGCCATACTCTTGTCCCAAGCCTCGGAGGAAGAATATGGAGTTCCTCGATTCTTCTTCTTTTGCTTATCCCGGCCTTCGGGACGGTTGATCACAAAAGGAGGCGCTTGAATGTCGGGGCTATCACTCTCGCTGGATGGCATGCCCGATGAAGATCCACCCATTGCTGGAATGGGTGGCACGGAGGAATGAAATATCTCCAGGAACTTTGGACAATGTTGAAGTATCTCCCAACAATGATGCAAATTGAAATCCTTTCCGGTGTCTGCCTCGTAAATACTCTTCGTTCGCTTAACCTATACAATTAATTTATGTAAGTTTTAAAATAAGCTAATTCAATAGAAAATAAAATGCATAATAATTATAAGTTTATGGTGACTAACCACATCGGCGAGGTTTTCGCCGCTCATTGGTATCGCACTTGCTTTTCTCGATGCCGCATTCCACGCACCACATTTCTTTTGTATGATCTTCCATCGATTGCTGAGGCCGCCGTCGGGACGTGAAATGCCTGTGCTTCTCTCGGCAAATAAGACCCCAACGCGCCTCCAAAATTCAATCCCCGGTTGATAATGGCCGACAACACCGTCCTCCGAAATTTCGATCCATGCATACCACAAAATTTTATCTTCGAATTCCTTCCAATTCGGCGGGCGATTGCTATGAGACATTTTTTTCTTTTTTGGATAGAGAGATGATGAATATCTTTGAGAGAATTGAGAGGAAGAAAATGAAAGTAATGAAGTAGAAGTGAAGGATTTGATGTGTATTTATAGGAGAATTTTGGGAAAAAATAGCTGTTGGGTGCAAATAGCCGTTGGGGGTGAGATTGGGGACTGATTGTGTATTTTTTTTAAATCTCCAACGGTCTGAAGGAAGGAGGAGCAACGGGGTGGGCGAGTGTTGCGCACGCAGGCGCGGGATTGGTGGCTCCCCTCACGGCGCGTCTTCTCCATCAAGAATGGTGGGCCCAATCAATTTGCAATTTCTTGGCTGCTAGTGGGCCAAATTTGCACTGAAAATTGCTTTTGGTCCAATTATTTGGACTTTTGAACCTACATTAAAGTTGTTGGGGGCCAATCTTTTGCTTTTTTGGATCCCCATTAAAGATGGTCTAAGGGTGTAAGTTTGACCCTAAAAACCTACCGACCCGTCCCGACCCGTCCCTGAGGGTCGGAACGGGTCAGTTTGTCTATAGGGTCAGTTTATGGACGGGTCAACTTTTGACCCTATAAGGGTCGGGACAGGTCGGGACAACTTAGGGACAGGTCACGTTTTGACCCTGTGACCCTTAGCAACAACAAATATCTCTACCACATTGGACCTCTTTGTAAAAGTTTTCAAAGTTTAGGTACTAAATTGCAAAAATAAAAAATTTGGGGTACCAAAATGTAATTTTACCACCAAAATTTAAGTACTTATTTGTAACAAAAATAAATTTTAGGTACTAAATTGTAAGAAAAAAATAATTTTGGGTACCAAAACGTAATTTGTAAAAAAGTTGTGTGCAAATTAGGGTCGACCCACTGACCCGGCCCGTCCCGATCCGTCCCATCTCTTGAGGGTCAGACAGGGTCAAGAAGTAGATAAAGACGGGACAAGACAGTTATACATCTTGACTCTTTACGAACGTGTCATACAGGATCATGACAACACATGGACGGGTAAGGACAATTTTCAGCCCTAGAATTCACATGCATATTCGCTCTCTCATGTCCAGCCAGATTGCTCTAGACCGACCGCGATCTTCTGAGGGATGTTTTCAGCGCAGGGCAAAGAAACTTGCTATTGGTCCTAAACTGGTTCAATCGGCCACCTGTCCACCAGCATCAAAATGATAACACATCAATCAAGTATATTCTATCAACGACAGTTCCTTTGAATATATAGCGAGATGGTATATGTTCAGTGCTCATCGATGTCAAATCAATTAGCCTCAGCAAGCAACATAAGTTGAATGCAAACAGTGGCAGCTAACCAATATGAGAAAAGTGAACTCTAAACATGAAGCAGGAACCAGGCAGTAGGCGGAGCTAAGAGCATATGGCATGGGGTTTACTTATTAGTACACAAAGATGCGACCAGGAATATTAGCTTGTAATTCTACTGGATTGCAGCATTGAGGCGATAGAACGTAATCAAGGAGAACAATAATGATGTATCAGGTAAAATTGGCAGAGATTTGGGGTAAGAAGTTCAATTTTGAAGAGTAACTTGCTGTCAAACAAAATTATAACAACAGCGCTAGAGCATAGCATCAGTACAGGCAATTGGCATGGATCCACATACAACTTTGCTCTATATGTAAATCACATTCTCACTTATTTGATCGACTGTCGCTTTAACCCCACCGTATGAATCAATCCACGCAACCAGCGGGGAAACTTTGCGAAAAGGAATTTCCAACTGAAACACATCTCTTTGGAATTCCTACTAAGAACTACTAAGCAAAGTGACCAATCCGAATAAGTGAAGTCGAAAATTACCTTTTATTAAAGACCAGGGCGATTCTCTTCACCTTTAAAACCAACATTCATTTCAGTGCCAAAAAAACAAACACCAAATTCAGTATCTTTCCACTTCCTTCTTCTTACCGATAGTCAACAACCACTTCCTGGATGCGGAGGAAGAGCGAGCATTGGGTTTCTTGTCAAGGAGGTTCCCAGCACTCGATAGTCAGCTGCCAACAAGTGATTGATGCTTCGTAATCCAGCACTATGGAAAATATGCCATGCACTTCATATGTGAGCAAAAGGAGGGCTAGCGGCAAATCGGTATAGGGTTATGGAAACCGCAGTTACCTTCTAGTTAGGGATGATAGGGTAAGCCGATGTACTCTGAGGTTCGCGATGAAACAACTTTACATACATGACACTGACACCTTTCATTTTTCCTTAGAAGGCTGGTTCAGGGATGGATGAACATTGATATCCCGCATGAAGATTCACTCTACAATGTCCAGACTCCTCATATCAAACTCAACCTTGTGAGGTTGTTCTCGGCGGGGCACGGGGCAGATCACATCAATGAAGCATATTTGACTCAATATCCTGTTGAGTATATTATGAGATATCAATTCCTTGAAAGCATCACAGTCAGGAATTTTGAGGCCATCAGGAACTTCAGCGAGCACAATATGTTCATCAGCCAATGAGGGCAAACAGTGGCAGCTGAAAATATAGTAAAGGCAAAAACTAGACATGAAACAGAAACCAGGCTGCCGAACTACGAGCATATAAATCATGGTTATGCGTAGAAAGGTGCATATACTTTTACAGGCACTCGACATGGAGCCACGCACAAATTTGCTGTATCAATCACGTCCGCACTTATCCGATCAGCTGTCGCTTAAATCCCACCGTAGGACTGCGATTAACTAGCAGGCTGCTAACATTCTAGATACACAATGATGTGAACAATGTAACTGAAAAATCTGAGGCAATATGGAACTGACTACCCGGACAGCGGCCAAGGCCACAGATCTACAGCCGCCTGGGGAAACATTTCCATAAAGGAACCAACTTAACTCTACTTGGACTTACCCCTCATTTCCATTCTGAAAAACCGATGAATATGCAAATTTCCAATCAGTAAGCAATTGGGGCGTCAACTTCCAATTCATTCCCCTCGTCTCTATGTATCTAGGCATGGTGGCACCACGATTTATGAGACCCAAAATAAAACACCAAGCTTCCATGAGGCTATTTAAAATCAGTGACAGACGGAGAGAACATACCTGGAGCAGAAGAAGGACGATTCCACCGTTGGCTTGAATTTGTTACTTATCCGTCGTCCAAAGTCGCTTCCTGGAGACGGATAAGAAGAAAATGAAACAACTAGGGTTTTGGTGAAGAGATCTCAAAAATTCTTGGATCCTTCGTTTTCTGCTTTCTCATTTATATATGTACAGACCTACATTAGGAAGAACAACTAACGGCTACTAAACAGTAATTAGCAGCTAACTAATTAAACTAACCACTAAGAACATGACACTTGGCTAATTCCAACAAATAGATACAGCTCTGCAACTCTAGCCTCAAACGATGTTGTCTTCAATATGTCTTCGTTTGTGAGATCCAGGGAAACGGTGGCGTTCTGAACTCACACTTAGTGAAGGCACAACGCCACCGTTTCATACACACAGGGACAAGGATCTGCAGACATTCTTCATTCCTCTGCAGCAGCAGGTTCATTGCTCTTCATGTTCATTGATCATCATCCTGCTGCTGCTGCAACCAGATCAGTTCTCCAATACCCCCCCCCCCCCCCACAAGCTGGCGAGTGTCGTCCAGAGACTCCCAGCTTGCTCATGAGGAAATTGAATCTCTCGACTCCAACACTTTTGGTGAAAACATCAGCCAACTGATGTGTAGTAGAAATGTGATGTAAACTGATTAATCCACTCTGTAAACGCTCTCTGATCACATGGCAGTCAACCTCAATATGTTTTGTACGCTCATGGAACACAGGGTTCCTGGCAATGTGAATGGCTGACTGACTATCACAAAACACCAAGGCTGGGTGAGAATGGTTAATTCTAAAATCAGAAAGGAGTCTTACCAGCCATTGGATCTCACAACTAAGTAAAGCCAATGCTCTGTATTCTGCTTCAGACGAGGATCTAGAGAGAGTGCTCTGCTTTTTGGCTTTTCCAACTAATCAAACTTGTGCCCAAGAAGACACAGAATCCAGTCAATGACCTCCTTGTGTCAGGACAGGTGGCCCAATCTGAGTCACTGTACCCTGTTAGCTGAATGGAGGCTTGGCTGGAATAGAAAATTCCTTGACCTGGTGAATTCCTGAGATATCTGAACACCCTGTGTAAGGCCTTGAGATGCACAGTTGTTGGGGAGTCTTGGAACTGGCACAACTGCTGCACTGCAAAGGTAATGTCAGGTCTGGTGCTGTTAAGGTACTGTAGTTGGCCAAGGAGATGCTTGAAATGGCTGATGTTGGTATAGGGTTCACCCTCAGTAGCAGAAAGCACCTGTTTGATACTGGAGGGTGTTTTAGCTGGTTTGCTCTCATCAAAACCTGCCTCCTTCAAAAGTTCAATGCAATATTTCCTTTGTGATACATGGATTCCTGCATCTGACCTGTGCACTTCAAGGCCAAGGAAGTACTTGAGCTCTCCCAAGTCCTTCATTTTGAACAATGACTCCAGCAACTGTTTAACTGAAGTCACAGCTTCTAAACTTGAACTGCCAATGACTATGTCATCAACATAAACAATCACAACCACCAGACTTCCTGTAATTTATGTAAGAAAGATTGAATAATCTGCCTTGGACTGAGTAAAGCCATTAGTAAGTAAGGATCCTGTTAACTTGGCATACCACATTCTGCTGGCCTGCTTGAGGCCATAAATAGAGTTCTTTAACTTGCAGACTTTGCCCTTGTATTCTTCATTTCCTCTTAACCCCTCAGGCAGTTCCATGTAAACATCTTCCTCTAAGTCCCCATTGAGAAATGCATTGTTGACATCCATCTGGTGTAAGTGCCAGTTGTGAATGGATGCAACTGCAGGAGCATTTTGACTGAGGTTAACTTAGCAACAGGAGAGAAGGTATCACAGTAGTCAATTCCATAGATATGAGTGTAGCCTTTGGCTACAACTCTGGCCTTAAACCTTTCAATAGCTCCAGTGGGTAGGAATTTGACCTTGTAAACTCACTTGTTACCTATTGGTTTCACCCCCGGGGGCAAGTCAGTTATCTCCCAAGTGTTGTTTTCATACAGTGCTCTAATTTCATCTGTCATTGCAACATTCCATCTCGGATCACGAGTTGCCTCAGCATAAGTGGTAGGTTCCATAACAGCAGCAATGGTCAAGGCAAAATGCTGCTGGTTAGGGGTAAGGTGCAACAGATCAAAGGGTATAGTCTTGGGAGTAGGACTGACTTGAGCACTACCAACATAGTAGTCATCAAACTTCTTTGGAAAAACACTCTCCCTGTTAGACTTTCTTAGGGGTACTACTGGTGGAGGTGATGGTTGTGTCAAACCATCAGAGGAGGAGGAAGAAGGGGAGTATGAAACAGGTGCAGCAGGAGAAGGTGATGATGGTGGATGTGAGGATGGTGTTGATGTACCAGATGGAGAAGGAGTGTATGGTAACTCATGCTCAAAGGAAGGTAGAGGTTCTGAACAAGAAGAATCCTCTGGACAAAAGGAAGGCATGGGAGCAGAAGGGAAGTCTGGTGAACTTGCTTCTGCTCCAGATTGAGTGGAGGAATTTGAAGCCCTGTAGGGCAGAATTGACTCATAGAACACAACTTTTCTATTGACAAAGACTCGATTAGTGGCAATTTCAAGTAGTTTATAACCTTTAATCCCTACAGGCAGCCCAAGAAAGACACACTGACTGGCTCTAGGGTCAAACTTATGTTTATGTCCTGCCACAGTTGTGGCATAAGCTAAACATCCAAAGACCTTTAAACTCATATAATCTGGGGGCACTTTATGTAACATTTCAAAGGGTGTTTTATGGTCCAAAAGAGGTGTGGGGGTTCTGTTTATGAGGTATGCATCATGGAGGACAAAATCACTCCAATAACACAAAGGCAAGCCTGACTGGAACTTCAAGGATCTGGCCACATTTAAAAGGTGTTGGTGCTTTCTTTCTACTCTCCCATTTTGTTGTGCTGTGTAAACACAACTCATTTGGTGAGCAATGCCATGAGAGTTGTAAAACTCTGGCATGTGAAACTCTTTTCCCTGGTCTGAACGTATGGTTTTAATGGAGACATTGAATTGGTTTTTGACCATAATGCAGAAAGACTGCAGCACTGGTCGTGCCTCTGCCTTGGATTTAAGCAGAAACACCCAAACAGCCCTACTGTAATCATCTACTACAGTGAGGAAATAAGTGAATCCATCTCTAGAAATAGTACTAAGTGGCCCCCAAATATTAGTGTGAATGAGTTCAAAAGCTTGTGATGAAACAGTAGAACTAAGGGGAAATGGCAATCTCTTCTGTTTTGACAAATGACAAACATCACAGTGTTGTGAGGAAGGTAAAACAACATCATTACAAGACAATTTAATCTCCTTCATTCTAGACAAAGAGGGATGTCCTAATCTGGCATGCCAGATGTTGAAATCTTGGCTGTGAAAATTGAAAACTCCTGCTGCAAAACTCTTGGAATTTCTATGGAAAGCAAACTCCTGACTATTGGACTCTGAAAACAGGTAAAGACCTCTATCCACTTGGGCTAAACCAATCCTCCTCCGAGTAATAAGGTCCTGAATGACACAGAAATTGGATTTAAAAACCAATGAGACTGGGTGATTTTTGGTAAGCTTACTTACAGAAACTAGATTGTAAGTAAAAGAAGGAACAAAAAGAACTTGAGTAAGGAACAGTCCACAGGGCATAGTGATTATTCCAATGTGTGTTGCTTGTACTTTCTGCCCATTTGGCAGTCCTATGTAGATCTTATCAATTGGCTTACTTTTGATGAATAAGCTCTGATCACAAGTAATGTGATTTGTGGCTCCAGTATCGAGAATCCAAACTTTACTATGGAGAAAAGAGTGATTCATAGGGGTAACTGTATTACCTGAAGAACTTGCTGCAAAATGTGGATTAGGTGGCCTCTGAACTTGACTCACAGGGGGAGGAGAAGCCCTCATCACTACAGCTGCATTGTGATGTTGCACATGTGGTGAACTTGGTGGAGAAGGTGAAGGAGATGGTGATCTCATCAGCATGTTCTTCAGTTTGTCTAACTGTTCTGCAGTCAGTAAATTGTTCAAGTTCAACTCTCCTTCTGTCTTCCCCATATTACCCAAATTTGATCCTCCAGAGTCATTCAAGTGACTATCCACTGATCCTGCAAAGGGAGTCTCATTCTCCCTGGACTGTTTGTTCTTCAGCCTAAAACACTCATGAATTGTGTGATTTTCCTTTTTGCAGTATCTGCACCACTTCTTTCCTTCAGTGGTATAGTCTCTAGGGTTCTGTCTCCCTTGTCCACCCTGTCCTGCTTGTCCTCTAGGCTGGCGAGACTGATTCCCAGCTGCTAGTAAAGCAATGGAATCAATCCTACCTTTAGTCATGCTCATTCCCTTCATTTGTCTTTCCAGCTGAACCATCTGCTTGAAGACAGATTCAATGCTAGGGAGTTGAGCATTCATAAGGACCTGTGTTCTTGCGGACTGGTAAGTGTCATTGAGCCTTTGCATAAACTTGATGATCAAATCCTGCTCATTGTACTTCTGAATGGTGTAATAGGGACTATTTGGACAGGGGCAGCAAGCAATCGGTCTATGCATGTTATACTCCTGCCACTTAGTGGTTAAGGCAGTGTAATATTGTGTCACTGTCAGATCTCCTTGTGTAAGCTTGGAGATCTGCTCCTTCAATTCATAAACCCTAATATGATCAGCTTGACTAAACCCGTCCTTTAGATTATCCCAGACATCCTTGCTACCTTGTAAGGTACCACACTATTCGTTATATCACCAGAAAGGGAATTGTAGATCCAACATCTAACAGTACTATCACATCTATGCCAAGATGCCCAAATAGGATCTGTCACTTCTGGTACTGGAATTAAACCATTCACAAACTGCAATTTGTTCTTTGTAGTGAGAGCCAGCTCCATTACCTGACTCCATAGGTTGTAGTTCTGATCTGTGAGCTTCATCGTGACGATTGTTGTCAATCCTCCATCGTGAGCTTGAAGGTAGTATGGGTTAAGATAGGGATCTTCATATCTGGGTATGATAAAGTCAGCGGCGGCTCCAGTTTGGGCATTGTGCCTCTGGGCGTCGCGCTGGGTAGTGTTTCCAGAAATCGACTCATCAGTCTCTGTATTTCCAGATCCATCTACACCAGAAGGTTGGCCTGACATTGTGGTGTTTTGGGTGAGTTAGTGTAGCAGATTTAGAAGAGGAAAAACGAAGGATCGAGACCTGTGCTAAGAGCAACCAGGCTCTGATACCATAAGAAGAAAATAAAAAAGCTAGGGTTTTGGTGAAGAGATCTAAAAAATCCTTGGATCCTTCGTTTTCTGCTTTCTCATTTATATATGTACAGACCTACATTAGGAAGAACAACTAACGGCTACTAAACAGTAATTAGCAACTAACTAATTAAACTAGCCACTAAGAACATGACACTTGGCTAATTCCAACGAATAGATACAGCTCTGCAACTCTAGCCTCAAACAGTGTCGTCTTCAATATGTCTTCGTTTGTGAGATCCAGGGAAACGGTGGCGTTCTGGACTCACACTTAATGAAGGCACAACGCTACCGTTTCATACACACGGGGACAAGGATCTGCAGACGTTCTTCATTCCTCTGCAGCAGCAGGTTCATTGCTCTTCATGTTCATTGATCATCATCCTGCAGCTGCTGCAACCAGATCGGTTCTCCAATAACGGAGGATTTGAGCAATAGCGCTCTTATCGAGCAGGTTCCTACCCTGAGTCTGATCTCGTTCCGCGACTCGCCTTCCGGCGGCCTCCCTAGGAATTTTACGGAGAGTGTTGTAAGCTGAAGACTGACGTACGGTAACTGGACCGACGGAGGAGGGAATTTCGCCATTGTCATCGCTATTCGCTAATCGTCGTCTCGTCTGTAATTGGTTTTTCGCTGGCTTGACGTTCGAGGCGGAGGGAATAGAAAAGACTGAAGGAAATAGATTGGGCTTCTACATTGGGCTCGAGAACTAAATTGGGCCGCGTTTAACTTCATCGGAATTAACCCATCTGTGACCCATTGCGCGCCACTCTCTAGCTATTTGAAACAGAATCCATGGCAGGCAGCATAAATTGCTATGCTCTGCTCTTCTCCGCTCCCCCTCTTTCTTTCTCCATTTCACAGAAGAAAAATTCCAAGCAATCTGTAGAGAGAGAAAACTATAACCATCTTCTTCAGCCTATCTCTCCACAAACTCCATTGTTTCTTTCAGCAGTCAAGAAGACGATTCAGTTTACCTTCCCTTCATTCGGCGTTCTTTTCCGTCGTTTCTATGTGAATTTCCGACTCGAGAATTCACAATGCCTTTCTCGGTGAGTATCCATTGCGCTTTCTTGATTGCTCATTTCCTTTCTGTATTTCCAAGTTGAGTTTCTTTCTTTCTTTCATTCTTCTTAGTCTGATTCCTAATCCCTTTCACAGCCATTACTTTCTTGGTTCCGATCATTCGCTCCAATACTTCTCCCGCGTTTAAATGATGGGAGTCTTTATCGCCATCTGCTTTTATGTTACCGGGCGGCCGTCGGGCCCTGATGAATCCGATGGAAACGAAGAGCGATTTAATGAAGACGGAGAACAATGCGCCGTAGACGAAGAAACGCCCGATGGAGATGAGAAGCCATCCAACCGAGAGGAAGAACCATCAACCGTAGACGAGCCAGCCACCGGAGCCGAAGAAACAACTGACGGAGTAGTATACCAGCCAATTGGAAAGCGCAATAACGAGCAACCGGAAGAATCAGAGCAGCCGCAAGATACGGTCTCCGTTTCTGTCCGCCGGGGGTTGATCGGCGTAGAAAGATTTATGACGGCGGCGAATACGTTGGAAGGAGAAGTACAACAACCAATTGGGAATCATAACAGTGAGCAACAAGATCCGAAGCGCCTGTTCTTGAAGCTACCAGTGGCGGCAATACCGTATATAGCAGAGAGATGGATCCGCAGCTTCCCGATAACCGGGAATCCCAATAAAAGAGACCAAGAAGATTCGAAGAGGCAGCTCTTGGCGCTATCGGGAGCGGCGGTACAACAACTAGCATCTGATGGAGAAGCATCTGACGCCGACGAAGATCCAACCGATGATCTCGAAAAACCGTCCGCCGGAGAGAGAGAACTATCCGCCGGAGACGAGCCATCCACTGAACCGAGCGGTAAAGAAGACGAATCATCCAATGAATACAGAGAAGAACACGTGGTCAGAGTATCTTGGTATGGGGAACCTCCGGAGGGAAAAGTAGAGTATTGGGAAACAGAGGCTAAAGACGATCACATCATCAAGCTCGATTATCTCGTCTTCAAGAATTGGAACATCCAATGGGAGAATTAGAGCAGCCGCAAGATATGGATCCCCTGAGGACGCAATTGACCAGCCAATTGGCAATGGGAACAATCCTCAAGGGGCAGTGAATGACGTGCAGGGAGAAGTAGATCAGCCAATTGGGAATGGACTGCAACAGCCAATTGGCAACGTAAACAATCCGCAAGGGGCAGTGAATGGCGTGCAAGGAGAAGTAGATCAGCCAGCTGGGAATGGGTTGCAGCAGCCAACTGGTAGCGGCGGCAGCAGCGTGCAAGGAGGATCGAGTAGGGTAGATGGAGCTATGGCGTCGGCGGCGACGTTTTCCGGCGAAGTAGAGCAACCAATTGAGCAGGAGGACCACGATGAGGTGGATCAGCAAGGAGGCGGCGGCGGCGATCCTGTTTCTCCTCTTGCAGTATAGCAACCAATCGAGCAAGAACATCAGGCTCTTGCTGACCCGGTGGTGGCGTCACCCCCTCATCAACCTGGCCGTGTTGCGACTGATCGGCCTGGCCCTTCCGCCGCCAACGCTAAAACAGGACAACCAGGGTCTTCCAGCACTATCCGCCACCGATCACGCTCCCCCAGCCGAAGAACGCGTTCCTCGCCACCTGATTTTACAGGTGGAAGCAATGAGGGCGGCGGCGGCGACGAGTCGCCGGTAGCAGAGGTGTAAGTGGAAAAGAGGGAAGAACGATGACGCGAAGTTGGAATGGGCCTTTTTGTTTTTTGGTAATTTTGAATGGGTTGTTTTCTTCATAGTAAATGGGCCTTATCTGCTGAAGCGCATCGTAAGATCCGACTAGAGTCCATACTCCATATAGATACAGTAACAAAGAGTTTTTTTTTGCAAGTTGTAGTAGATTGCTTTGCTGCCGTAGTTAGGCCTTGCGAGTTTCAGATGAATTCTTTGGATCCCAGTTGTAACATCCTTCTGAGCATATAATGCAGACTACTATGCTTGGGATTGTGATTTAGAAATTGCAAATGACAATGGGAATGAAACCTCCTGTTATTTGAGCTTCCAAGTAGCAATGGAATTTTAGGTCCATATGATTTTTGTTTAGACGATTTACAAATATTTTTTTGCTAATAAAGCTATTGCGAATAATTATGACAGCGGGAACAAATTCGTCTCAAGTGTCCTCAAAAGTAAAAACAAAACTGATATTCGCGATTTCTAAACCATCCATCACTAAGTAATACACTAGATTTATATTTGAAATTCACAAGTAATACACTAGATTTGTATTTGAAATTCACCTCATATATTTGGACAAATCCAAATATCATATTTAGTTCGTATCCAAACAGATAATTTAGTATTTGATATTATTGAATTATTTATTAGGACTGGGAATGATTTTCGAGTGTTATTCGGTTGAGATTACAGTATTGGAATCGATATATACCGAAATGTCAAGAAATATAAAAGTAAATGAATAATTCCAAGTGACATGTTTATTCCTTAATATGAACAAAACCATCTCTGCTAATTGTAAAACATAAATAAACTGAATTTTATGTGATGATGAATATTACCAAGGGGATGCTGGACTTCTTTTTATAGAGGTAACCTTTCTAGTGGAGTTAATTCTACAACTGTCTCCCTTATTCCTAAGATCTCTAATGCTGAACATTTAAAGAACTTCGGACATATTTCTTGGGTGATTGGAATTCGGGTTCGTGTTGGGAAAACCCTAGTTTTCTAATTAAGCCATTTCCTTCCGAGTTTTGAACTAATTAGGATGAAATTTGGCTTTAGTAAGTTTAGTGTCAGTTTGGGTTGTGTTCGGAAGAGTGAACCTGAACCGAATGTCCATCCCTATGGGCAAGGGTAAAAAAGATGGTTGAGTCTTTGTTCTTCAGAAATATTGTTGTCCAAGCTCAGAGACAAAGGGAACAACTTATTTTTTGGGGAACAAGGACGTGGTTACCCTGTCTTCTTTTGGCAAAGTGGCTGTTGCAGTTGGTGGTGACTTGCTTCTTAAGGATGATGATTTGTTTGAAAAAGATATATTTGTTAACTACATTGAAGCCAAAACCTCACCGTCTTCTTTTCCTTCGAGCGACACGATGTATGATCATCGTTCGATTTGGTTCATACAAATCTATGGGGCCCTTCACTTGTTACATCTGGTATGGGTCAAAAATATTTTGCGTTGTTTATTAATCATGCTACACGATTTACATGGATTTATTTCCTAAGACATAGGTCCAAATTAATTGATCATGCTAAATCCTCAGTACAATTAATTCATACTCAATTTGGGAATACTATCAAGATTATTCGCTCATATCCGGGAGGGGAATTCAGCTCGAACCCTTTGATGGATTTCTATCGTGAACATGGCATTGTTTCACATCAATCATGTCCAGTAATGTCCCAGCAGAATGGTTTGGTGGAACGCAGACATCGTCACGTGCTAAAGCTAAAGTTCTTCTTCTTTTTTCATAGGTGCCAGGTGGTTTTTGGGTGGAAGCTATTAATGTTGTGGTATACTTGATTAATCTGCAGATTACTTTGTCTCTACTCCAAACAGCCAGATTAGTTATGGTTGCATGTCTTCAATTGTGTTTGCTTTGTTCTGCTTCATAAGAAAGATCGTTGATAGGGCAAAAGCGTATTGCTTCAATTCCTATCTCGTAGTAAAACCGGAAAGTCCGGGTATCGTCTCTCAGGGACTGGTACAACCTTATGATTTATCAATTCTGTGGAGCAAACTATAAGTGAAAATGGTTTGGTTGATGAAATTATTATCTAATAGCAAAATAATTAAACAAAACAAGATAATTAAAGTTGTCGGGTTGAAATTAATGGGAGAAGGCTCTGCGAGAAACACCGGGACTCGCTACCTATCATATCCAAATTAATTCACATATTCCAATCAATTTAATCCATACCTCTACAGCCAGGATATCACTACTATGCTAGCTATCCCTGTCGGGAATTACTACGTACTAAATAATTAATTCAAATCCTACTTTCGTAGCTCAATGAGTTAATTATTTAGTTTGAAGACCGATATCCCAATCAAGACCGCATAGCACCTTATTTAATCCACTGTCGCTTCGATGAGTTACTATGTCACATGAAATATGTTCAGTTATTATGGTTTCACTGTCGCTAATAACCTAATTAACTACAAATCAATGTATTGGTGGCCAGTCAACACAAAGCATCAAGTAATTCCATGCGATAGAGATTGGAAGAAAAGAAATACGAATTAATCCATCAAGTCAAGAAATAGCTACATCCTATGGTGTTTCCCCCAGAAATTGGAGTTTAGTTCATGACAAAAATAGAACAAACAATCATGTTTATAATCATCATAGAACTAATAAAAGGAAGAGACTACTAGATCGTCAAACCGCATCATAATTGCTTTCCTCTTTCCACAGCAGCTCGCGTGCCGGTTGAGCTCTCCGCTCGCGTCTCCCCTCGTTCTGCCTGCTCTCCAATTATTCCCTAAAGAAATTCCGTCCCAAAAGAATTCCCACTCCAGACAAAAGAGTTGGGGCAAAAAAAATTCCCCTCTTATTAACTTCCGCT